TTTCTGTTACATCTAATCTGTACAACTGTAAGGAATGATGGTAATGACCTGATTAGCTCATCCTTTCATCTCCTGCATCCATGTAGTCCAGAAACCAGGGAAATCTAGAATTTGAAGAAACAAGGACAATACGTTCTGATGGCATCTGAGTAGGCTCTTTATTTTCTGAACAAACCCATATCTTGCCCCTCAGGCCTCACCTACCACTGACAATAGCAGGTTGTCATGTATTCTGTACAGAGCCTGCCCTCAAGTGGGTAGTAAGCTGTCCCCAGGCCATGGCCCAAAGTCAGAGCAAAGGCCAATTTTTACATGGTGATAAAAGAAATGGACCTGGGGCTTCCCTGGTGGTGCAGTGGTTGAGAGTCTGCCTGCCGATGCAGGGGACACGGGTTCGTGCCCCGGTCCGGGAATATCCCACATGCAGTGGAGCAGCTGGGCCCGTGAGCCACGGGCGCTGAGCCTGCTCGTCCGGAGCCTGTGCTCCGCAGCGGGAGAGGCCACAACAGTGAGAGGCTCGCGTACCGCAAAAAAAAAGAAATGGACCTGAATGATTTGGAGTTAGGGCCAGCATGCGAAAGGAGGGCCACCACAGGGATGGGATTTTCTACTTAGAGACACAATCATATCCCAGCAGTCTGCTCTCAGCTCCCAAAGGGGAAACTGGCCCAGGAAAGCAGCTGAAGATGTCAACAGTTAGATGTGAGGACTAATGTTCAGCAAGCTGTAATTCACTTAACCTGACCATTTGCTGGGAAGGTAAATCAACTCCTGTATTGCTCTTGTGAAGTCATATTCCCAGTACAGAAGAAAGAGACTTTCAGAACACACACACAGACATGTATATACATACAGAATGAAATTCTGAACAACAGGAGAGGCAGATATTTGACTGAATAGAAGATACATAAACCCAGCAATTTCTTGTACAGTAACCAAAGTGGTATCACACTTCCTATTTACAGGTATCCAGCATACCTCAGGTTACAAAGGATTTTTAAAAGACTTAATTATCCCCATTTTACAAGGAGGAAAACTGGGCTTCAAAGATGTACAGGAAGCTGCTCAAGCTGCATACTCAGCAGACTGAGGCAAGAATCTGGGTTTCTCAGATTCACATTGGTTTTAAACCTGATTAACAACAGGTATGGCTAGCTTGGATAGAACAGCATTAAGTACCCTGGATTATCCATCCTAGGGCTGGGATGTTCACACAGCAATGAGTCTTCCAGATAGGAAATGGAGATGCTCCACTATGTCAGTGACCAATTTGGTCCAGTGATCCACAAAGGTGTCCGGTTGGTATAGAGTTAGGAGGAAAGTCTTTTCTTTGCCATTATACTTTCATGTTATATGCCAAATAACCTAAGGATGATATTCTCAAGGAGCTACTGAATCTTAGCTCAGGATGAGTCTGGATAAACAAGGGAACTATACAACATATAGGTACAGCCTCTCAGGAAACCACCTATCTACCTACCAATAACATCAGTACTAATGAAGATTCAACAGTTCAGTGTGACTCATCGCTATGTCTTACCTAGACATTGTCAGAGCTTGAATAGATTCTAGAGAATGCTTCAGAGGTGAAGGAGAAACTAAAAGAAAATTATCATATGTCAAATGTTTTAGAGAGCCAAATTAGAACTCAGGTCTCTCATTTTCTAATATATCTAGCACTGCTTGCACAATACCATTCTACCCTCAACCAAAATCAGTGTAGAAGAATGGAAATAGCAATTCTACTTTTAAATATCTACTAGAAAAGAGCCTACATAACTTCCATCATTCAGTTCCTTGAGGAACACACAATCTTACCAGAAATGTAAACCTACACATAAATGCTCATTCATGAGAATTGAAAGGTCTAACTTGGAGTCAATTTTCACATCATTCATGCAACAGTTTAACCCCATTTCTTTTTACTGGTGACACCACAACAGCTGGCCACTAAGGTTGCATGGTACTCTCCTTTAGAGATCTGAAGACAATTCAATTAAAAAAAAAAAAGGTTTGCAATGATCAAATGCTCATTCTGAATACAATCTGAGGCAACATGGAATGCTATCTTAGTTCCTCAAAGAATAAACACTGGTAAAATAGAACAGAATAGAATAGAATATTGGAGCTGGTATAATAGAATATTGGAGCTCTAACTTATGATTTAGGCTCTGTCATTAATGCTCCTGGTCTACTGTCACAGTCCTCAGTCTCGATATGTGTTATCTGATAGAGCAACTAGCCACATACGGCTAATGAACACTTGAAATGTGACCAGTATGAATTGAGATGTGTATAGAAACACATCAGATTTCAAAGACTTAGTAAAATATATTATTAAAAAATTTATAGTGATAATATATTATATTGTATCATAATATTTTAGATATATTAGGTTAAGTAAAATACATTAATTTCACTGTATCTTTTTAACTTTTTTAGTGTGGCTACTAGAAATTTTTAAATTATATTTGAGATTTGCATTTGTAGCTCACATTATATTTCTTTTTTAAAAAATATTTATTTATTTATTTATTTTATTTGGCTGTGTGGATCTTAGTTGCGGCATGCAGGATCTTCATTGTGGCATGTGGGATCTTTAGTTGCAGCATGAGGGCTCTTAGCTGCAGCAAGTGGGATCTAATTCCATGACCAGAGATCGAACCCGGGCCCCTGAATTGGTAGCACAGAGTCTTAACCACTGGACCACCAGGGAAGTCCCTCACATTATATTTCTATTGGACTGTACTGGCCTAGGCCAAATCGTTCTCAACATCAAAGACTCTGATTTAACTAGCCTAGAGCCTGGGTTTTAGTGTTTGGTTTTTTTTTTTTTTAAGATTCCAAGTGAATTATTTCATTGTGAAGCCAGGATTGAGAACCACTAGGCTAGACTCTATACTATGCATGCCTGGCCCAGCCAGTGGTCTTCTCAAAGGTCAGCTTCAGCCCATCCAACAGGCTGCTGGGGCTGTGTGCTTGGAGAAACACTCCTCCTGGACTTGGATGTAGGAAAATCAATGCCAGTTCATTGATATTCTGAAGCTTGATTCTGTCATTCACCTCCTGGGGTCATTCTGCCTTGCTCAATATTTTGTCCCACCCCTTGAATTACAGTTTATTATAAAAATGACATTTCACTATAGGTGAAATACATGCAGATGTGGGTGATTTTGTCACTGGGTGCAGTTTAATCCTTCTTTTAAAAGGGGGGGCCGTCAGCCTAAGACACACAAGCTGTATGTGTACGGGGCCTCTTGTTAGTTCCAAAGGTCCATGGTTATTGATGTGTTCTTTCTAACTACCCCTGGGACCAGTTCATCAACCAACAAAGCTGAGCTTGGACACACAGCATGTGGAAACTCTGATGGAAGACTCCATATAGGTAGAGGAGAAAGGACTGGATATTTCATTAAGAAATTCTCAGGATAGAGGGGATGAGAGGCTATTTTGTCTACTTCCTTGCTTCTGAGCAGTGCCCTCACCTAAATTGCTCTAACTGGATAACAGTGCTTCCTACATTTGCAGCCCTCCAAGGAAGGAGGCCTCTTTCAACCACTATGAACAGCCTTGATACATAGACATTATTGGAGTTAATAAGGTGGAGGTGGTGGTGGTGATGATGAGGATAATGATAATGATAAAGCAAGTTACCATTTGCTAAGCACCCACTATGTGCCAAGCACTGTGTCGGATTCTTTACTCACATAGTGATCTCATTTAATCCTCATAAAACATCTCCTATTCCTATTTTTCAGATGAGGAAATAAGGCTCAGGAAAGATAAAAGTCTTGCCAAAAGCCACAGAGCTAGGAGGTAATAAAGCTGAAACTGCATCTGCATCTCAGATTATCTGATTCCAAATGCCCTGCTCCTTCCTTCATGTCACACTTCTATCCTTCTTATCCTGAGACCCTTCATCCTCCAAGGGCCCAAGCCACTCTGATCTTTTGTTTGGGGTCAGGACTTCAGTCTTATATTACAAAAGAAACTAACAAAAGATGATAGGCTGTGGTAAGGATGGTCATAAGACATCCTGATGTGGCTTTGGTACTTGTATTGCCACAAATCTGTTTTAATGTACATTATTTAATTCACTGTGATATCCCCTGTCATGAAAGAATTGCCAACACCATTTTGCATATGGGGAAAATCAGAGCTCACAATTGCCAAACAGCTGATTCTAGCTCATAACTCCAAGGATGGCCAAGAGCTGGAACACCAGGCCAATGTTCTTTCCCCATTAGCATCCTGCTAATGGGTGACCCAGAGGAAGTGGAAACTGCTAAGGAGCCCCTTCCCAAGAGCCCCTTCTTTTAACGGCCAGGTTTTTCATGGTACAATGTCAAAGGGGTCAAGGCCTTGCCAGCACTATCAAGCTGCCTGCTTCCCACCCTGGACACATCTTAGTTCCCAGCCACCTTGCAAAAAGTAAGATTTGCAATGAGTAAACTCCAACGCCTGGGAGGGTAGAGAGCCCAGACGCTTACATTCACAGCTGTAGACAATCATAAGACAACACGCAGGGGTGTTCACACTTCCCTAAATGAGAGAAAGGAGGCAAAGGAAGCAGAGAGGAGTGGGGAGGGGAGAAAGAGGGTGGGAAGAGATCTATAAAAAGAAAGGATAAAATAAGAGGAGGCAAGGAAAAGAAAGAAAGCAGAAAAGAGAGAGAAGAAAGGTAAAATTTCACAGCAATATAGAGTTAAAAGCGTCTTCAAAACCATCAAGGCAAAAAGGAAAGTGATTTGTGCAAAGTCACAGTGGGTAGAAGGTGGGAGGCAGGAGGTGGGGATTGTTAAAATAAACAAGATAAAAAAGTCTCAAAACTAGAAGGGCAAAGATTAAAGGAAGCCCGGGCCCTGGGTAGGTGACCAAACACATGGGGAAAAATGTGAGGAGCCACAAGAAGGGGAAGGAGGAGAACAAGGGCTGGTGAAGGGGAGGCCAGGGGCAAGTAGCCAAGGAGACAGGAGAGGAGAGTGAAGGCTGACACTCACCCTCACAAAGCTGGCAGGAAACCATCCCTCCTCATCGTCGATCTGGCCCCACCACCAATCCTTGTTGGAAGCATCCAAGACTTTGATGACGTCGCCAGCCTTAAATGCCAACTCCCGGTTGGCCATGGTGACGTGATCCCATACTGCCTCAGCACTAACGATGGAATCTCCAGTGATCAGCTTAGGAGACAAAATAAGAATGTGTTCAGTCCACATGTCTAGCTACCTTACTTGCCCCCCTCCCCAAATCTCTACTACTTATGGAAAAACTCACATATTAGTGATGAAGGGTAGGGTGATGGAAATGACATTGGGAGAGCAAGCTCCACTGGACTACAAGACAAATAATACTATCAACTCTCCATTAGCCAGTGGGTAGAATGACCCAGAATGTGTATATGGACTACACAGGCCTCATGATTTTATCCCTACTCAAGATCTCCTTCCCTAGAGAAGAAAAAGCTCCAATCCATTCTCCTTGGTACTTCGAGGCAGCCCTGGAGCTGGAATGGGCAGAGAGTCTGAAACCAATGGCTAAAATGAGGCTCAAGCATATTTGCTATAAATTCTCTGTGCTCCTCCCCCTTTCTTCTTCTTCTTTGGAACTGTCCAATTGAGAGTTGGTGATACATTATTTAATCCTACTGTACCCCACCCTCAGGAGTTACAGACCACAGCATTCCTCACATATAATGGACCCCAGTCCTGCAGCCTCCTGTTCTCACCCACACATGATGCTATCCAGAGAGGTCATGTGTTCATAGGTATGAAAGAATATGGTGTTCTGTGATGCCTTGCTCCCAAGAAACTCGACATTGTCACAGATTCACTCAGTGATTTAAACAACCACCCTGTAAGATACACAGGGAATCTAGGTTGACTTCTACATCTGACAGATGGCAAAACTGAACCATAAGCAAGTTAAGGGGTAAGCTCAGTTTCAGTCAGCAAGGCAGGGGCTATGCACAGAGCCTAACCTTGGTCCTTAGAATTTCTGGCCAGCAGGACTTGGCTCCACATAGCGCCAGGCAGACATCTATGCCACTGCCACATAAACATACACACACATATGTTCATGACACTTGTCTATGCACAGTGATGAGGATGGGTGTCGGGGAATAGTTAGTTTCTCTCTGGCTACCATCCTGACCACTGTGTTATGTATTCTTCTTTTTCCCCTAACTGGTTCCAGCCTGTATGGGTCATCAATCTTTCTGGCATTTGGAGGAACAATTTCCAGAATAGAGAACATATGTCCTGTCAGGCAAAGGACTCAAACATTCCCTCCCCGGAACTGAATTGCTGAACATGTCCTCTAGAAGTCATCTTTTCCATCAGCCTACTTTGAGGAAGGACCCCAAGGCAATTATGGCTCCACAAGACTGAAGTCAAAACAATTTAAAGATAACAGAGACAGAATATGGAACATGCATCCTCTCACACAGGTCTGCCTTCCAACATACCAGCCAGAGAATAACCCTATGGTCATGATATTAATGTATAACACATCACACACAGGAGAAAACACACACACTGATCTTTTGACTTAGTTAGGGCATTCTGTTGGTTAGCTCCTGCATGAGGCATCCTTCATTGCTCAGGGGTCTAGCCATTGTGCCTTCTATAGAAGGCATAGAGGGAGCTCCTCAGCTTGGATGTAAAAGAGATTTCAAATAGGACCTTTTGTAATAACACCTTTAAAGTACCTCATGCTTTACTGTTCACAAAGTGTTTTCACATCTACTGCATCACTGGATCCTTTCTGAATGAGCTGGATCTATTACCCATATTTTAAAGATAAGGAAACTGAGGCTCAGAGTGGTGACCTGGTCCTTTGGCCAATCACACATGTAATAAATTATGGAGCTCAGTCTTCTGACTGTATATGCACTAATACCTATCATGCCATACTACCAATGTTTACTAATAAGCTAAAATGAACTCACAGAACTCCATTCATAATATCATAAACAAGATGGCTCCATTCTTCAACCCCAAAGAAAGAGACTTGGACAGCCACCTTCAGTTACTGGTGCCCCTGACTAAGAGGAGATTTATTTATATGTTGAATTTGCTTTCTTCCAATTACACTAAAAGTCAATATCTTCTTGTTCTGGCCTCAGTGGAGAAGAAGAATTGCTGGTCACTGACCTCAATAAAATAAGTATTTACAGAGAAGTCTCCCCTCTCCTGCCAAAGATGGGTACCAACAGGGTGCTGCTAGAGCTCGATAAGCACATACAGGCCCAACTCAGAGCACCATGAGGGCTTATAGTCTAAAGATATATCATTGACTTTTTATCAAGGGTCAAAGAGTGATCTTGGAATCACTTACCAATGCTCTGCTCAGGACTCTATCTGTGATGCTGTTTGAATTACCCTAGTCCCAGTTCTGGCTGATTCCACTGCCTGCATTTTTTCTACAGTGCAGTCTTCTTTTGAGAGACTCCATGCTTGGATTCTCCCAGCAGCACTTGGCTCATTCTTGTCCCCATTTAGTCCAGTTGACATGCCTGGGCACTCAGGTCACAAAGTCCAGCTATGCCCTGGACAAGGCCAATCCCTGGATAGGACCCAGTGGCCACAAACCAACTGGCAAGCCTGTTGTCACTGCCTACTTGGAATCAACGACAGAACTAGGCAGCACTTCAAAGATCATCACCCTTAATCCCTCATTTTATAGATCAGGTATAATATAGCAGGAGTGACTTGCCTAAGGTCACAAGATGGCCAGCCTAGTGAACCATTTTTTCCCCAACATAACACCATAGATAGAGAAGGTGGAAAAAGAACACTTGGATTTAAGACCTTGCTAAAGAAGGGATGATAAAGATGATAATATTAGCTAATATAGAGCACTAAATATATGTAAGGCAATATTCTAAGCACTTTACACACATCAACTCATTTAATCCTCACAGCAACCCTTTGAGGAAACACTATTATTATCCCTATCCTACAGACGAGGGAACTGAAGCTCTGAGAGATTAAATAATTTGCCCAAATTCAAACAGCCAATAAGTACTTAAGTCATAATTCAAATGCAGGCACAGTCTGGCTCTTATAGAGCCTCTGCTCTTATAAACTATGCTGCCTCTGAGTCTCACTTTCTTCATCTGTTAAGTGAGGATAATTCTACACCCCCACCTGATTCACAAGCTGTAAGACACTGAACCAAGAGTTGACAGATGTGTGTGCAGATAATGAGAGAAGGGCAATCCAGAAGGGGCTGGTAGCTGTATAGGGCTCCTGTATTCTCTAGTCACAAATGCAAGCAGGAATAAGGGAATGTTCTTCCCTATCTTCTGAGATGTTTTAAGTTTGGGCTGCTGGAAATTGGTTTTAAATCTCCCCTTTGTATACAGGATTGACTTTTAACTTGCTACAATTTTTCATAAATATGACTTTGCTCATCCATTTCCACCCAACACCCATTGAGTGCATTCCCACTGTGCGCAGGGATCTGCTTACTGTGATTCAGCCACAGTCCTTACCTGAAGATCAAGGGCCCTTTGGGTACCAACAGTGAATGCCCTTCAAGCAGTATGCAAAGGTGGTTAAGGGCAAGCAAACCTAGCTTCCATTCTGGGCTTTGCTACTTTAGAAAGTAACAGTGACAATGGGAGGTGAGGAGTACAAGAGGAGCCACATAAATAAACCAAAATGGAACTGTCAGCATGTAAGAAGTACAATATCACAAAAGCCATGGATGAGACTTTCAAGCTATACAACCCTTGGTTTCAGTTTCTTCATATGCAAAATGGGGATATTAATACCTGCCTCACAGGCAGAATTGTAGAGAAGGTGAACTGAGTTCTGGATGTATAGTGCCTCATACAGTGCCTGGTATACTCTGGCCTAGTACAAGACTTCAGAGGAAGGATCATGTGTGGCTATTGGACTCTAAAACAGTTTTATGGGGCACTGAAATAGGCCTTAAAGAAGAGATATGGGAACATATGTATATGTATAACTGATTCACTTTGTTATAAAGCAGAAACTAACATACCATTATAAAGCAATTATACCCCAGTAAAGATGATAAAAAAAAAGAATGGGTAGGATTGTTACAGAGTAGGGAACAAGAAAGGCAGAGTAAAGTGTCAAAGGTGAAGGCTATGGGAAATTTGATGGTAAATATGTAGTGGAGTTGGAAAGGGCTGGGAAGAGTGGGATTGAACCGCAGCTAGAAAGGTGGACTGGAGACCTGTTTGAAGGTATTTAGATCTCCTTTGAGTAAAAGGAGGAGGCCAAAGTTGATTTGGCAGAGGGAGTTCAATCCTAAGTGTGATCATTAAGGCATGAGGGTAAGTTATGAGGAAATGTTGGTTTTGGAAGGGGCGAAGAGATGACAAGTTTTCTCTTTGATATGCTGAATGTTGGGGGCCAGCAGGACATGCAGGTAGATTTGAAGTTCAAAAGAGATCAGGGGAGATAGTTATACAGTTTTGGGAGTCAATGGCCCAGAAGAAATTGTAGAAACCAAGGAAGTTTGCCCTGGAAGAAAGTGCTAAGAAAGAAGGCCAGAAACGTAGGAAAACAATAATGGGAGGAAAGGAAGAGAAGAGGAGCCAGAGAAACAAACCAAAATGGAGCTGTCAGAACATAGTTAGGATACCAAGGGGTGCAATCTCATAAAAATCAAGGACAAGAGTTTCGAGTAGCAGGAGCTGATCAAATTATCAAATCGTACAGAGCTACCTATAAGAGGAAGAAAGCCAAGAAAAGTCCATTTGGGAGTGGCTATATCAAGACTTAAGTTCTTTATTTCTTGTTTATAACTGGTTTATTCACCACCCCCCCAAATTCCTAATTTCCCAACTATCCCAACTTCTTCATCTTGCAAGCCCAACAAAAAGCCAGAAGGTGGTACCGGGTTACTCCAGCAAGGTACCCAAATAGCTCTTGGCCTTGGGACAGTGCTGATGTGACTTCTAAAATAATTCCCAATCCTCAGGGCATTTCGAGTACAGGACTAAATATAGGTTGGTTCTTGCTCAGACTTACCAGTGAGTGGGACATACAGTGTTCTGCATCCCCAAACCAAAGACACTTTTGGACATGAATAAGAAGATAAAGGGGGGAAGAGTCATAATATTGATATAATTCTTAAAGAAGGAATGATATCGGGCTTCCCTGGTGGTGCAGTGGTTGAGAGTCTGCCTGCCAATGCAGGGGAC